GTCTTATAATCATCGTACAGAAATAAGAAAATCTCGGCTAAATGGTTAGCATCTAATCAGTGTTGCTGGCAGTTGGTATGGGGACATGTTAGTAGGCCTTAGTTAACATTCAAAGTGATTTCACTTAATTTGGTTTTAACTAGGTTAAGTGGGGAAACTTAGGTTTGGAGAGTAATTGGATTTGGATCCAATTTTAGCTGCTGGATTCAAACATTCCACTGTACTCTGCTGCCAAAACATTAGCGATTGCTTTGCTTTCAAAGTTAGAGGATATTTCAGGAAGAAAGAGTAAATTTACCTCGAAATATAATTTTAAAAATCCTTACATTCAACATAAGACCTTTCACAGTTGGAGGGCATCTCAAAGCACTTCACATGATTTACTGTAAAGTGTACTGACTGTGTACTTGTAGGCGAATGCACAGCCAATTTATGCGCCACAATGTCCCACAAATAGCCATGAAGCAAATGCCCAAGTTTAATTTGGGGCTTGTTGGCAAGAACACCAGAGAAACTCTTTTCTTTTTTTAATATTATTATTTTAATAAGGCACATTATGGAAAAATTAAAGAACAGCAGAAAGACATTGCCAGCAATAAGGATTCACTCTTTCTGTGTCAATTCATTCTCATCTGTAAACCATCCAGATTATTGATGACATATACATAGATATGCTCAAGGATGTTACAGACAACCATCAATGCCAACTAGAGTTTCCAATTCTGTTAGAAAAAAACACACCAAAATAAATGAGCATCCAAGAATGATCAAGCACCAATTTAGGTGAATGACACGTTTGCTTTTGATTACTTCAACATACACAGAGATGATGGAACCTCATCATATTAAATTGAGGAATATTATTGACATTACTGAAATGTACAACTTTTCCACTCAACTCAACTGTTTTTCCAAACAGAAAAAATTGTCACCTAAACAAATAAATTCAGCCATTTGACTACGGTTGACAGATCAGGGTTGATCCAATGCTGAAATCCTTCACTCTATTTTTACAGAAGGATACTTTACGTTGATACAGGGTTTTGAAACGAACATCAGTTACATTTAAAATCAGAATTTTACCAAACCCTCAATATTAAGGTTGAAATTACTAGTGCATTAAAAAAGTATGAATACCGTCTATGTATTTCTCCAGTATTTGAGACTTTGTGGTATAATTGGAGCTTATGATGCAAATAAGCCTTACTATTTCCATTCAGAAAAACACATCCATAACGACCGGATTAGTTTGAATCCTGTGGGAAAAGCAAAATAAATATTCAATAATGGATAACCAAGAATGCATTGCCAAACGTCGTCACAGTTCGGAGCTGATTGATGTCCTCAGGAAATCTATGGTATTGATCAAGTGTTCAAGCAGGCCCTCGGTGAAATTTGTGGTGTTTCGAGATGTGTTCAAAGTAGATAATTAATTGCATCAAATACGCTATCACAACATCACAAGATTAGTTCTGATGAAGAAGGCTATCCATCTGATCTCAGCCTTCCAGAATAATCATCCTTCTGTCCTCCCATCACAGCAGTGTCCTGGTCTCAGCCACGCTTCCAGAATTAATTTCACTTGGAATTATTGAATCAGAAATCTACAATGCAGAAGGAGGCCATTCAGCCCATTGTGTCCACACCGGCTCTACAGCAAGCTGTACTTTCAATCCCACTGCCCTGCCATCCCACCTAATGACTTTGAGACCTGCTGATGACCACGGAACTATCTGGTTAACTATTACGGACATAGATAATTATTTGGGGAGGACAAGTTTGCAGGGCTATGGGGAGAGCGGGATTGATTTGGATAGCTCTTTTCAAAAGAGCCGGCACAGACACGAGGGGCCGAATGGCCACCTTTTGTGTTGTATAATTCTATGATTCTATGTAAAGGCTGGTTAACTCCTGCAAACACAAGCGAGTGGTTACATTCAAACCAGTCAATAGGAGAAACTACCGTCTTAACTTGATGTGAATGAAATTATTGGATCAGCTATAAAGTATGAAACAAGGAAATTAAAAGCCCCAGCATTAGCATCTTCTATTTTCGGAAATGGTTTTATAAATATTTTTGTTGCAAATATTAGTGCATTTTATTTCGTCCACAAAATGTACAGTCAATTCACTTTACAGTATATGCTGTGAAGCGCATTGAGACGTCTCGAAGACGTGATAAGGCGTTATATCAAATGCAAGGATTATTATTTTTATTTCACCTTTGGTGCGCAACAATGACTGCCATTTTATTTAAGAGTGATTTAAAGGTGAAATTTGCAGTTTCATAATGCATTTGACACTAGAGGAGTTAGCTTCCCAATAAAATACCTTATACTGCCAATTGCTGAGGCTCATCTATTTAGTCTTACATGAGTCTTACTGCTTCTTCCTTGAGCACAATTACATCTGCAAATCAACAATGCACATTACCAACATACTTCCAGCCACACATTGTAAATCAGGTGCCAATCAACACAATACACAGTACCTATTCCAGTCATCTCCTTTTTAGCTCAGGTATGAATATTTATGTACATTTTATACATTTCTTCCCAAAATGACAGCAAAATTCTCAGAATTGGCATTTTATCTACGTTTCACACAGAGGCGAATATGCAATTTATCTTGCTTGAGCAACCATTCAGAAGTCAAATAGTTCCCTTGTCAGTAAACCAAAGGCATCAATTGTACGGATATGAGGCAGCAATCCAGCACTAGGAGATGCTCAATCATTGGAGAGAATGCAACTGCACTGTATGGTACAATAACCACTTCAGTTAGAGGAGAAGAAACAGAGCTCAGCTTGAATTTGAATTGGTTATTTAGGAAAAAACTCAGGATTGACAAATAGATATCTTATAACAAGTCATATTTTTTCCAGGTTTCTGTTCAACATAACAGAAAAGTGTAATTGAATGCTGGTAATGTACTCTTTTTCAGTTCACTGGTGCTTTGAAAGGTTTCAAAGAAATAAGCTGTGACATTTACAGCAAGCACACTCAGCATATCAAAATTGATTTGACTCTGGATGAAATCCAATGGAAAAATCATGCCATTTAACATTTTGATAAAATATCACATCCTTGCATCCTTGCATTTCTAAAGAGCGCTTTGTAACTGCTTATGAATAGCTTGAATGTGTTCCTATTGATATGCATTTCAGCTTTGCTGACATGAAGATATATTGGATGCGTTGGTTTGTTTATCAGGGGAAAATTAATGCATTGCATCTGCTAAGATTCAATTCAAATATCAACTGTATCCCCTAGTGATGGGTAATTGAGTTAGCAATGTAGAGGATAGTAAAACTGATAATTTAAGATGACGCATTCATTATACTAGCCTTGGTTATCACCAAAGCACCCAATACTTTACCTCAGGTTTAATCCAAATTTAATCCAAATTTATTTTAAATAATATTTCAGTTTCCCTAAAATCATCTCAATCTTGGTTTCAAACTTATCACATTTTGAAAAGTGGACAATGATAAAAAATTGCACTAGTCTCCATCAGACTTTCTGTCCTGAAGTCACTGGCAATAACCATCCGTCTAACCATATGGTCTTGGTCCATTTATTTATTATCCCGATTGAGAAGCACAACAGAAGGACGGTGGAAGAGGAAGGTCTTCAGATGGGACTTGAAGGAAGCGGGAGAGGGCCTGAGGCGGAGGGATTGTGGGATAGAGTTCCAGTGTGTGGGGGCAGAGATGCTGAATGCTCGACAGCCAATGGTGGGACAGGAAGTTCAGGGGACCTGAAGCAGGTGTCCGCCGAGTGGAGAGCGCTGATAAGCTGAGATGGGGTTATCAGGTCGTAGAGGTAAGGGGGAGCAAGACCGTGGAGGGCCTTGAAGGTAAGAACGAGGGTTTTGTACTCGATTCTCTGAGGAATGGGGAGCCAGTGAAGCCGGGTAAGAACGGGGGTGATAGGTTCCCAGAACCTGGTGCAGGAGAGGACACGAGCTGCAGAGTTCTGAATAATCTGCAGCTTGTGGAGGGAAGAGTTGGGAAGTCCAGTGTGCAGGCAGTTGGCGTAGTCAAGCCAGGAAGTAATGAAAGCGTGAATCCGGGTCTCAGTGCAGTGAGAGGCAGTGATGGAGGCGGGCAATGTTGCGGAGGTGTAGAAATGCGGAACAGGTCACGGCGAAATGTGGGGTTTGAAGGATAGCTGAGGGTTGAAAAGGACGCCGAGTTTTCGGATTGGGTCGGTGAGGTGAAGAGTGCAGCCATGCATGGTGATAGTTTCTGCAGCTGCCAGAAGCCAAGCAGGAGGGCCTCTGTCTTGCCAATATTGAGCTGGAGGAAGTTGGCTCTCATCCAGGACTTGATATCAGACAGACAATGAGCCAGAACATCACTGGTCCTGGAGTCGAGAGTGGAGGTGGCGAGATAGAGTTGGTGTCATCTGCATACATGTGGAAATTGACCCCATACCCTCAGATGACATTGCCGAGCGGGAGCATGTATAGATTGAAGAGGAGGGGACCGAGGATAGAGCCCTAACCAACGCCACACGTGACAGATTAGAGTGGTCAACAGTATCAAAAGCGGACGAGATCGAGAAGGACGAGGAGACGGAGAGAGCCCTGGTCGCAGGTGAACAGAATGTCTTTCGTCACTTTGACCAGGGCTGTCTCTGTTCTGTGAGCAGCACGAAACCCAGATTGGAGGGTTTCACGGAGGGAAAGCTGGGAGAGGAAAGAGCGAAGCTGGGAAGCGACGACTCATTTCATGACCTTTAATCGAAAAGGAAGGTTTGAAATGGGGTAGTAGGTGAACAGCCATGAAGCGGATAACCAATTGATTTGGAGAGATTGTTGGCCAAGACACTGGAAGAATCTCCCTCCCTTTCATGAATAGTGCCACGGGATGAGCACCTGAACAGACAAAGCCTTGGTTTAACATCTCATCCAGACGGTGGCATCTCCAACAATGCAGAGCATCTCCAAACTTGCATTAAGAACTAGACTCTGAGTTCTATTAACACCAACATAAGTTTCAAACAAAGTACATTTTATTTAAACAGTTTTGTACAAAATGTCACCCGAACAGTTCCAAAATACTCCCAAATCATTATTTTACGCAAAATGATACATTTACAAGAATAGACTCGCAACTCCACTTTACACACCTTCAATGTTGAGCATGGACGCTCATAAAAAACCTTCATCCCCATATTTTAAACAAGTTCGCATTTCCTTTGTACAATTATAAACAGATATTACTAAACATAAAACCCACATAGGAACAGGAGTAGGCCATTCAGCCCCTTGAGCCTATTTCACCATTCTATTAGATCATGGTTCATCTGTATCTCAGCTTCAATGGTCTGGCAAGAGGTTTTCTTTCCGTACATGATCAAAATATTTATTGATAACATCAATGAAAATATTTACACAACCCTCTCTGTGCAAACTACTGGAATTCTGGAAAACCATATGGCAACCTGCCACAGCCTTACATTTGAACGTGTGGCTCACTCTTAATTTTGCTTCAATAATGGAGGAGTTATTTTGCTGTGATCCCTATACTCTAAAAATACCTCTTCCCTTTTGTTACTATCTGCCTCTGACCCGCGGCTCACTGGCACGTGAATCCAGCAAATGTGCAAGAGCAGAGTTTTGGTTGTGGGATACAAAGCAATGGATGACTGGAAACAAATCATTTTGAGCTCCGATGGCAATTTAGGACCACCATAGACAAATGCAATTTATCCTCAAGTATCCAGCGTCTTGATCTGAGTCTTAGCAGTAAGGAGTACAAAATCTACTTGTTTCTACTGTATCCATGACAATGCAGAGAGAAAGAGAGAGAGAGGGAAAGAGAAGAAAATATGTTAACCATTTCATATACTGTAATTCATATATTAACAGGGTATTTAAAGTTAGCTATATAGAATTAAATAGAATGTTACAGCAAGGAAATAGGCCATTTGTTAATGTAACTTTTTCTGCAGTAGGTATCAACATTTTGTATCTACCATTTGTTTAAAAAATTACACACACATATATATATAATATATAAAATATTAGAGCGGTTTTAAACTACTCTCCGTTTTAGTTCATTCCTCTTTTACATAGAATCTACAGCATCACAGCAGACCATTCGGCCCAACTGGTCTGTGTGGGTGTTTATACTCCACATGAGCCTCTACCCCTCCCCCATACCCCAGTTTTCCTCTCACTCACATATATGTATCACATTTCCACTTAAACGCTTCGATGCTCTAAGGTAAAAGAAAACTGTTTTCCATCACTGAACTGTCAACTAAATCTGAGGCAATTGGAGCGCTAGTCACTTACTTAAAAATAAATTCAAAGTGTTTACTATTGTTGCTGATTCACTCGTTGAAGTGATGATACTATATTGGTAATGCATGTGTAATGTAGTTCATTTCTGTGCTCATCAAAATCCCACTTCTGATGAGGGGCCAGAGAAAATTGGTATCATCACTACTAACGAGAACGTCAAATTGAATCCAGTAAAAAGAGTTTACAGATTCAAATTTGAGACCATAAAAATAATTACATTTCAGACCATAACAACAACATTTGAATATAATTTGAATAAAAATAATTCAAATTTCAGACCATAAAAAATATCACACACACACACACACAATCTCTCGCTCTCTCTCTCTCTCTCACACACACACACACACGATCTCTCTCTCACATACACAAGATCTCACACACACAGAAAATTACACACACATAACCATTTGCTCATAATCACAAAGGGCTCTGTACTTCGCATTGACTCAATATAACATGTGAAAATTGTGCCCTGTTATGTGTTAATTAAGACATCAATGAAAAATACAGATAGTTTTACTGATTCCTAACCTCCCACCCCCCAATCCCCCGTCAAAACTCAGTCACTGTGGTTGGCCCTACGCCAGGCTGTGCCATTGGTGTGCAGGCTAGAGGGATTCCGGCTAAACATTGATACCCTTGTTGTTGAGGTGTTACCACGATCTTTGGCCACAGATTATGGTACTGCCAGCGTTTGGGGGAGGGGGAGGGGGGTTGCAGGTGGGGAGTGCAATAAAAGAGGCCAAAAGAAAGAGATTACTGTTTTATGACTTCAGGTACCCACAGGCTGTGATTTTCAACAACCATCACAGGTCCCAATGCCCACCCATATGTTTCTAACACATTTCATTGCAAAGTAAATCAGTTATAAAAACAGTGACACTCATCATCACTTCCAATTTGAAAAAGACCTCGTCAATAATTTAGCAAGTTACAACAGGATGTCAGTTGCAAGCCTTTGTATTTCAGTCAGTAAGACGCTGCATTTACTTTGCAAACTTATTACTCTGAACAAAATAAATTAAACCTTCAATAAATAATCCTTCGCTCATTGCAGACCATTATGTGTAGTAGCACTGAATCATATCCAGATGCAGATTTTTCTATCAATTAAATATAATTAAAACCAATAATTGCTGCTAATAAACATCTCAAAGCATTGGCAAAATAAAACCAATTAAAGATGAAGCATGTGTCATATAGACAAAGGCGGTGTTGCATTTAGGCCACAAAGTCTGGGAAACTATATATAAGACAATTAATTTGAACAATCAGTGTTCCACTATACTCATCAGCTTCATCTGTTAATAAATATACTGAATGATTGTCAAATCCACTTACAAACAAATCATTGATTTGCAGATTCAAAATTTGACCTTGAATATTTCCACAAAATGGCGTGTTTCTCTAATGGAATCGTTTAAGCAGCTGGTAAGGAGATTTGGGCTCCATTGAGATATGCAGAATATTCAAAATATTAACAAAAACAAGATTACATTTGTAGAGTGCCTTTCCCATCGGGACGATGTCCCAAGGCCCTGAAATATTAAGTTACATTAAGGCACCAGTCGCTCATTCGCTTTTACTGACATGTTGGAAAAGGATGTGTGGATTTCGGAAAGTTGGTCTGTAATTTAAAGGTGAACTATGCATTGACTACTGAAGAATAGTGGCTGTGAAATGAAGCGACACCTCCTCATTCTGAGTTAGAACACGTTACAAATTCAACAACTGCACTGGAAGAACTGAATGCTGTTCCTACAAATGTGCATAACAGCCCTTCTGTCTGCTGCTTAATGCACGGGACAGTTTACACTGCATGCTGCAAAAGCTTTAAACTTACTTCAACTTTCCATTAAAATTTAAATAGGGGTAAGTTACACTTATTCATTTAAACAAAATTTGTAAATTTACTCAGATATCAAATATATTACAAAATATGTGCTAAAGTTTATCTTATGCTTAACTTGTATGTCATGTGGTTACAAGTGTAGACTCAATAAGCCCAACATTTTCAGTCCTTATCAAGTACATGAGATGCTTAAGATAGTTTGAGTTCTGAGGTTCAGTGGGTGCTGTTCCAGTGCATGGAATGTGACACTACGAAAGGGAAGACATGTAATTTTCACGGTGGGGGTTAATGAAATACCAAGTGACGTCTATCACAATAACAACAACAATATAGTAAATACTCAGTTTGTGGAGTTTGTCCTTTGTAGAGTTTCCTTCACAGGTTCACTGGACTCTCCATTGTTTGAGCTATTGAGGGACGAGCTGGGAGGTTTGTACAGGAACCAGGCGGTCAAGAAGAAGACAGATCCTAGAATCTGAGTAGGACAGGGAGGGAGACATCCTCATTAACGTTTCAACACAAGTAGATCAGTTTTACACAACCATAGGGTGAAACAACAACTTATATTTAGATAACAACTTTCATATCAGGTGGATGTCTCAAAGTGCTTTACACTCACAGACTGAGCACCTGAGTTTTAGTTATGTGGGGTGGGGGTGGGAGGGGGAAGGGTTGAAGTGACAGAAAACAAGGATAACAAGATAGTTCTTAAGTTTAAAGGTAAGGAGGGGGACAAGTCAGAGGGACTCCAGGATGGAGCTTCAGAGAGCTGACTGTAAGGTCGCTCCACAGGAGATATCTATCTTGCCCACCGTACTCGTGCCAGCTGTCTGAAAGAGCTTGTAACCATTGGGGTTCACTCCCCCTAGCTTTTTACAAACCCTCTCACATTTTCTGGTCTCAAACAACTTGCGTAGATTCTGCTTCAACCATGTCATTCAACACCTTGGAAGAACACTTAATTATTTCCTATTTCATTTCCTTTTTTTTTCCCCTCTTCAAAATCTCTGCGGCTTCAGATCAGTGCATTACCTTGTATGTTAGTCCAGCAGTAAGAAGGTATTTACTCATGAGTGAGTTCTGGTAAATGTAGCAGGAACCTCTCTCACCGCACTGGTCTTGCCAGAGCAAACACGACAGGTCTATAATTGAGCCAAAGGCAATTGGGCCTGGGATTCCTCCTGTTGAAATTCATCAGATGAAAATAAATGCTAATTCTTACATTTGATACAGCGCCTTTCGGATCAGGAGAGCATCTCAAAGCGCTTCACAGAATTTACTGTAACACGTAGTGAATGTATTTTATAGGCAAAAGCAGCAGTCAATTTGCACACAGCAATCCCCCCACAAACAGCCTGCGAATAAGGAAGCAATATTGTAGCTCAATCACTTAACGCAATACCCTTCAGGTTGTTAGCATTACAATATTAAACAGGGAGCTTTGATTTTTTTATGAAAATAATACAACTTTCCAGCTTTTCATCTAAAAATTCTCTGTTTTATCAAGCAAGTGTCAGTACTCTACAGTATTCAAGCAAGTGCATTGATATGTACAAGAGATAGTCAGTTTATCTCTACCTCCTACTAAACAAATGCTGCTCATTGCCCCATCCAAAAAATGTGCACACATAACCTTAAAATCAACACAGGAACCATACCTAATGTTCGGACCACGATCCACTGAATACCAAGTGCAAATGACTTCTGACTCTCTGGGACACATCTACATCAAAAACAAGAGACTCGTTGAGATTGACTCATTGGCGACATTTCTCTAACTTAAATCTATTCAGCATTAAAATATGGTTTGGTTTATATTATTCATCAGTCTGTGCGACTAGAATATAGGTCATCATTTTGGGAGATGGAGGAAAATTAATAAGTTTGTTTTGATTAGAAAAGTTGTAACGAATCACAGTTTGAGACTCGCATCTATTTTTTCCCATTCATTTCAATAAAATAATAATCCCTGCATTTGATATAACGCCTCATCACGTTTTTGAGACATCTCAAAGGCCTTCACAGAATATACTTTTTTGCTAGTTCGAACTAGCTAATTCACACCTACCACAGATCATGATAGCACATACAGTCTGAACACCGAAGGCTGCTCTTCCTCGAGAAAGCACTGGTCATAAAACGAGTTGTAAATAGGAAGAGCGCGGGGTTAAACCTGGGACTGTCAGGGGAGCTGTGAAAGCGTGAGGACTTCCAATCCGATGGTTCCTACCTGAGGGTGGCTGTGACCGCAGGGATGCTCCCAAGGAACGTGAAGAAGATCACGAGGAAGAAGACAGCCAGAAAGAGAGCCTGGTGTGGGCAATTAGAGGGGCACTTTCCAGATTCGGCAAAATCCGCACTGGAGTTTTCCATGACGCAGCTGCAGTCGTAGAAAGTCTGGAGAGTGAAGGTTAGAGAAAGGACAGCAGTCAGTTATGGAAACCACAGCAGATGATAATAATAATGATAAATAATCCTTACATTTGATGCAGCACCTTATCACGCCTTCGAGACGTCAAAAAGCGCTTCACAGAATATGCTGTAAAGTGAATTGACTGTATATTTTGTGGGCGAAACTCGGCAGCCAATTGTGCACAGCAGCGTCCCACAAACAGTTGTGGATTGAGTGACCAATTTTTTTTAAGGAATTAATACCCCCGGAAAAGTGATCTGCTGATTGACTAACAACCGGGTTCCTACTTATTGCTAGGTAAAGAGAGGCATGTGGAGGATGGAAACTTGCCCAATAACCCTTACCCAATTTCTTGCCGGGAATTGAACTCAGCTCTCTCGCTTGCGAGGCGAGTGCCCTAACCACTGAGTAACTGCTGACAGAGGGGACAAGAAGGCAGCAAAACCCACACAAAGCTAGCCCATTCTGGTCATTGCTCGAGAGCTGCAGAGCGCACCATGTCTCCGAAACCTGCTAAGTCGTCTTAACATTAAATTGTGAGCTCTGTTCATGCTGAATGGGCTCAACAACAACAACAACTTACGTTTATAATAACATCCTTGGCTGCTGCATTCGCCCACAAATTGCACAATACAATACAAATAACCTTTTGTGAAATTAACTTAGACATGATGGGCTGAATGGCCTCCTTATTGTGCTGTATAATTCTATGATTCTATGAAATACAGTAAATCCACTTAAATTCACAGTAAATCCTGTGAAGTGCTTTGAGATGTGCTCCCAGCATGAAAAGCGTGGTACCAAATACAAGGATTATTATTGCGTGTAGGAAAGCATCTCAGAGCACAACATCAACAACTCAACAACAAGGAATTGCTCTGACATTGATTAAGTTTAGAGGCTTAAGTCTTTAAAATTGCCAAATGCACAAATTTGTCGTCACAGCACCAGGTTATCCCTAAATATAATAACTAATCCTTATATTTGATACAGCGCCTTTCACGACAGGTGGACATCTTAAAGCACTTCATAGGATTTTACTGTGAAATGCAGTGACACTATGTTTTGTAGACGAACGTGGTAACTAATCTGTATGCAGGAGGTCCTCTCTGGTAGTTTGCAGTACATTGCAAGGTAAGTGTTGTAGAATTACCTTTCTGTTGCTCCCAGACAGTGACATGTTGAACCTTGTGCATCCAGCATGACATGGGGAGTAGTACGTCAATTTGTCAGCTCCGCAAACCGGGTTGTAAATTTCCATTAAACATTTGCACTCAGCATTGCAAGAGGTAGTCAGTTTGACAGCAGAATCGAAACTGCAGAGGAAAGGCAACACAATACAAATACAAAGGACATCTCTGTAAATAATAATAATCATAATAATAATCCTTGCATTTGATATAGGACCTATCATGTCATTGAGACATCTCAAAGCTCTTCACTGTATTTGTGGGTGAAATTCAGCAGCCATTTGTGTACAGCAATGTCCCATGAACAGCCATGGAGTGAGTGATCCAATTTTCTGCGGGGGGATTTATTGACCAGGACACTGGGAGAAACAAACTTCTCTTTTTGAATATGTCATGGGATGCAGCAACATCAATTGCTCATCAGTACAGACTGCGAACGACAAACCATTTTACAATCCTACACATGAAAGTAATTATATTAAGTGCAAGTTGTTCTTGCTGTTGGGATAAATTTCTTTATTGTAAATAATAATACAATCCTTGGATTTGATACAGCGGCTTCATTTCAGGGAGATAATGCATGTGGGAGCACGTGTGCTGGGGACGTGCTGCATGCAATCTTCTGCGATGAGAGAGAAAAATCCAAACTTCCTGCTTTGCCTCTCATATCCCACAATCTCGCAAGAGTTTTGAAGCACACAAAAATTGAATGTTTGCAAATGAGAACTCACTCAATTGCTGCTCTTACCTGCCGTTGTACGTGATTCCAGCCATTGGCACGTTAGAGCAGTGGATAGAGACTATGAAGATGGCCAACAGACCCAAGATTGTGCAAATTAAACAAAACTTGATGATTCCAGCACAGCGAAGCTTTAATTTGTTAATGATAAACCCACCGAGGAAAGTACCCCCTCCACCTGCTGGCACCACAAGGAAACCTGGAAGAGAGCGGATGAGAGAGAGAGAAAAAGCCATAAATCCATGTAATCCTCAAACTGAGGAATGGATTACCACTTTCTGTGAGTCATTGGCAGTTCAATTTGTTCCATTGCTCAACCTGCTCTGAATAAAACAAACAGCTCAGCCCGAAGCTGTGATAGGAACAAAATAGGGCAGGTATTCTGTAAGGATGAGATCTAATGGGCTGAAGGATCTTCTTCACCTGAATCCCTAATGTGATTTTATTAATATTTGACATTGCGAGAGTTAAACCCACTCCTGGGTGAAGTTCGAGACGTCTTTCTGATGTGAAAGGCTCTACATAAATGTAAATTGTATTGTAATGGCATTGACATTATCCTCAATAGGGTGAAAATTGAGGCACTTTATAATCTATTTGTAATGTAATAAATGCTGTATTAAGTACATTATAAACTACACCGTTACCTGTGTGCCTAACAGGCTAAAAGTGCATAGCTTGCTATTGTGGATTAATGGTAAAATGGGAATGCAAGCTTCACTCTGAAAACCTGCATTGGTGCACACTCTCCCCTGGCTGTTTGCATCTTCCTGGCAACAACACAATACAAGTGGCCTTTCATGAAATTAACTTAAGACAATTTCACATATTAGCTCCTTGCGAGCACACCCCTATAAACGTCACTGTGTTTTGTAGGCGATCACCGGTGTACCAATAAGGATCTAGTTAATTATCCTACCAAATAGGGTTGCAGCTTGCGAGGCGCTCAGATTAAACTGGGACTCCAGGAATTTGGGCCCAAATGTAGACATCCCAGCCATCAGCGTAGCTTCCGTAGCTCCAGAGAAACAGAGAAAGATAAAGGTTGGATTCCTCAGCAATAGCAATGCTGACCTGTGAACGTAAAGCAATGTGAAAGCTTAAGAGATGGAGCAGCATCTGCTGTTGCTGAAACTTTCTGTTTCAACTTAAGTCATCACACCTGATGGATTCACAATTAGCCTTTCTGCTGCTTTATGTTCCTGTGCCCTGAAGTGAGATTGCACTGACAGGACTGATATTTATCAAACGTAGCATCTTGTTAACACTGGCTGATATTGCTGTAATGTATTGTGAAACGTCCAGACACATATTCTCATCTGATAACCAATAAGGTTCAATTGCTTTGATCCGTTTTAGTGGCTTCGCCTCAAATTAATTCATGCATCGGCCTCGTACATCAAAAGATTCAAGTTCCAGCACCATTGAGTGGGTTTGTGAAACGACTCTGATTGACCTCTGTGCTTCATGTTTTGCTGATGTATGCATTCGATACAACAATAGCAGCAACAAATTATATTTGTATTGTAGCGCCTTTCATGTCGGGAGGATGTCCTAAAGCGCTGGACAGTCAAGGATGTACACTCGAGCCAGGGGTTGAGATCGTGAGGGGTGGAGGGCAGGGAGAGTGGCCAAAGGCGTGGTTGAAGAGGAATGTCTTGAGATGGGATGTCCTCCTAATGTAAAAGGTGCAATACAAATGTAATTTGTTGTTGTTGAAGGAGGCAAGGGGAGATGCAAACAAAAACCTCCGATTCAATGTTTTTATTAGGTAGAAAGGAATAGAGGGGTATAAGAGAGAGTGAGGGCTTGTGTGGAGTATAAACACCAGCACAGGCTAGTGGGACCCAATGGCCTGTTTGCATGCCGTAGGTCACTCAGTAGGATTTCTCTACTTCTCTTTTCAATCCTAAGAAAAGAATGGCAAACAAAATTGGAGCAGTGATTGGAGTGGGCATTTAAAAAACAGAGTGGGAACAAACATGCCAAAGGAATCAGTTTTGAGAATGATAAATTGCTTTTTTCTACGACCGCAGGTTGGACTGAAATGAATTCTAGGCAGCGACGAGGAGATTGCGGTGGATTAAATTCATAATGTGGCAAAGAATCAGCAAAATGCACGCAGGCATCTGTTTTCTTGCCTCAAGTCTTTTCAGAGTACTTGCTGGCATTCTTTTGAATGTTGTGTTGGCTTGAAGCCAGAGGGAAGAGATAGCAGAGACATGGGCTGTCAGGCTCACAACCAGAGATGTTTCATTCTTCTGTGCCTCGAGTACATTTAAATAAATAAGGCTGGGAGGAAGCAATCTGAATTACAGCAGATGTTTATTTACAGCCTCATGTTCTGGCGATGCCCAGTTTAGATTACCATGGGCTAATACTGGCATTATATTTCCCTGCTGCAGAACCACATTTGCAGACCGGGTGCAGTGTAGATCTTCTGCGATGGACAGAATCTTGCTGATTGACTCCGAATGGTGATCACTCAGATCCAGAGAAGGCAAGCAAGATCTTACACAGAAGAGTTTGACAACAAACTCAGGTGCTGTATTTACACAGCACCTTTCACGTCAGGAGGATGGCCCAAGGCCCTGGACAGTCAAGGATCCACACCCAAGCTGGTGGTTGGGATCAGGAGGAGTGGAGGGCTAGGAAGGTAGGCATAGGAGCGTGACCAAAGGCACGGTTGAAGAGGACAGGTCTTGATCATCCAGAACTTTGCAGCTCATGTCCTTTTCCGCATTAGGCTCCAGGACCCCACCACCCCCACCCTCGCCCGGCTCCACTGGCTCACCATCCCTCAGAGGATACAATTCAAAATCCTTATCCTCACTTTCAAGGCCCTCAATGGCCTGCCTCCTTCTACCTCTTCGACCTGCTGATCCCCAAATCAAGCTGTCCGCTCCCTCCGTTCAGCAGGCTCCGGCTTGCTCCATATCTCCCGCCCAACCCACTCTACCATCTTTCAGCCTCTCTGCCCCCATCTTTTGAACTCCATCCCACAATCCCTTCGCCTTGTTCCCTCCCTTACCTACTTCAAGGCATGACTCAAGACCCTCCTTCTTGACCATGCCTTCAGCCGCCCTCCTACCTCCGTACCTTTCCTCATCCCAACCCTGTTGTTGTTGAAGGAGGCAAGGGAGGGGACGAGGCAGAGGCACTGTGGGATGGAGCTCCAGAGGGTGGGGGAGGAGAGGCTGTAGGTCTGACCACCGATGGTGTCTTGTTTCTCCATATTTCCAAACATGTGGGTTCTTTCACCTTCACGATAGTCGTTGGATATTGCAAAAATCACATCCTCGGAACCTGGGTCACGACAGTCTTTACTATCAGTGTTACTGCAGCTTACAGGGATGATCAGACTCGGAAAATGCACAATTTAAGTTTATTACCTTGGCAAGTCTTTCACTGTTTTCCCAAAGTTCGGCTCCAAAGCCGTCATGTGGCTTCCGTCCTTCAGCTGATGGGCTTCAGAGACTCTCATTGCTAAGAAACGCTGGGATCCTGATCACAAGGAAAGGACAGTGGTTGTGAGGGTTTGGTCACTCAATCCACAATCGTTTGTAGGATACTGCTGTCTGCAATTGGCTGCTGCATTTCACCCACAAAATATAGAGTGAATTCACTTTGAGATGTCTCGAAGACGGGATAAGCCTCAATATCAAATGCAATTATTATTATTATAGGGATTGGCCATAAAATTCCAACCCGCCTTATTTATAATGGGGTGTGATCGAGAGCGAACATCCAGCAGTGCTTCCCTGATGACCGATGAGGACATATGCAGTGATCAGCTTCCCACCCACTGAACATGGTTTTCACCACGTGTAGAGATACCAGGCCAAATGGTCATTCACTGTCTTCAACAAGGTTGTGGTGCCACTGAGTGGCCAAACACTGCATTGCACTTTTTTTAAAAGACACCCACACAGGATATTCTTGCCAGGTGTCTGACCTGAATGGAAACTGGGGTTCCAACTCTCGAGGGCATCTGGTGTCCCAGATTAGCCCACAGGTCCTACTGTCTACACACTACAGCAATGCACCGTCGTCAAGATGTATGCTGAGCACTTCCTCAGTTTTTGGGGGGGTCAGCCAAGTGTTTCTGACACATGCAGAAACCCCTCACTGCGCTTAAAAGTCTCCAAACCAAACTAAGAATTCCATGCATCCCACCTACCCATGGAAATCCCAGATAGATTGTTAGAATGGTAAGCACACTGTCTTCCTTCATGGAGGAACACATCCTGCTTACCTAATCCTGCCTATCCCAGGGTTTGTGTTTTGAGAGCAGCCACAAATGCTGTGATGTTTTAAAGAGAGATTCATTGTAAAGTGTAGTAATTTGTTCTTGTTAACTTTTGATATTTATTTCTGTGGCCATCAGTGGCTGCAGTACCTGGGAGTTGGCGAGGGTAACCCAGGATGGGGATGGCTACAAGAAGTGCTACACCTCCGGCACCGAGGAATCCGATCCACCAGGCACCCACCCATAGCGGGCTATCGGGAGTCAGGTTAATCCTGCATCAGGAGAAAGAGAGTCAATTACATCAATCACTCGATCAATGCATCTAGCGATTGATCATCCATCGATCAATCGTCTGTCAATCAAGTCAATCAATCAGTCATCATTATTAAAGTCATCAACGTCAACAGTATCATCAACACTTGTGGTAATAGTGCACCCTTCACATAGGATAACATCTTATAGCATTTTACATATTTTACATTGACAGAGTTGAATGTTGAGTAGGAGGGAGGGGTGGGGAAGCGGAGATGATCATAGGATGTGGTTGAAGAGGTCTGTTTTAAGGCAGGACTTAAAGTTAGATAGAGAGGGAATGAGGTAAAGGGACTTCCAGAGGCTAGGAGTATAAAAACTGGAGGCTCGGCCACCAATGCTGGTGAGGAAAGGGCAGGAGACACACAGCAAATCTGAGTTAGTGGAGCGCACTTAGTTGGATATGCTATAATGAACATAGCATATCCATTTGAATGGATTTACAAATACTGTAACTCTATCCAGATGTTTGAAATACTGGTCTGATTAGAGCCGAGGAGATCTTAAAAGAGACAGTGAAAGAGAGAGCCCTCTGTCTGCTCTGTAAACTTTAGTCAGCAATTTTAAAGATCAGTTTGATCTTCCTCCATTATTGAAACAGAAATGTTGCCGTGCTGTGGATGAGCATTTCATACCCACAAGAGGGCAGCCGTGTTTGTACTTTTGCTGTGTGCTGTTCAATAGCATTGCAGGAATGGGATTGAAGTCTACCTAGCAGCTTGCAGAGGAGAAGTATCTAAGCCTGACCTGGGGATCTTTGATGGCACTTCGATAATAATTGATAATAATAATACTTGCATTTGATATGGTGCCTTATCACATCTTCTAGATGTCTCAAAATGTTTCACAGAATGTACTGTATGTTTTGTGGGCAAATACGGTAGCCAATTGGCACAGCAGTGTCACAAAACAGTCATGGATTGTGACCAAATTCTTAAAATTAATATGATTTTTAAGGTATTATTACCCCCGGAAATGCAATCCGCGAATCAACTAACAAACCAGTTCCTACTTACTGTTAGGTAAACAGAGTAAGGAAACTCGCCCAATGTTCGCCCTGCCCGGAAATCATTGGATGAAGCATTTGAGATTGTGTGATAAGATACATCAAATGCAAGTAGAAAGTAAAGTACATCTAGACCCACCCGGGTGGAATTTCTACCCATTATTCTTTGCCCATCTCCCAAAACACTTCTCCCTTAAAGACATTAGAAAGGGAAGATTCCAGCAACTTGCTGCCCAAGTTTCTAGAGCGATTATCCATCAGTTAGGGACTGTCAGGAAATTAGGGACCAGGTATCCAGCAATTAGGAAATGGAAATCAGGCTTGGTTGAAAGTGAATTGAAATGATCAACTGAACAAATTGCAAAGAAATCGATTACTGTACTTACAAAGCTTTCTGCAAGCCCTGGAAAATAATTTGATCAAGCTCTCTCATGCAGTCATATAAGTAAAATGCAACTGAAAGACAGTAACTCACTTAGTGTTGATCTCTGTATAAAACTGGAGAAAAAATCCTCCCAGCAAGTAGCCAGCTGCAGGTCCGACAATTGCTGCTGTGTAGAAAATGCCTTCAAGTAGAAGCAAAACGAATAGTAACTGGTTATGGAACATCGGCATTGCTCAGCGTTTCACCATACAGTTTGTTACTAGTTTAAAGATTTCTTGCTCATTTGTTTTGTACTGAATTAAAATCACGTCTCACCCTCCTCAGAGGAAGGCAGCGACAGTTTTACATTTATACAGCGCCTTTTATCACTCGGAGGATGTCTTAAAGCACAAATACAATGTAGGTTCAGCACATTTTAATAATACTCCTTGCATTTGATATACAATAGCAAGACCACATAATTACATTCGTAAAGCGCCTTTCATGTCAGGAGGACATCCCAAGGCGCTGGACAGTCAGAGCTGGGGGGTCGGGATTGGGGAAGGTGGAGGGAAGGGAGGGAAGGAGAGTGATTGAAGGCACAGTCGAAGAGGAAGGTCTTGAGATGGTTCTTGAAGAAGGCAGTGGAGGGGGCGAGGCGGAGAGACTGCAGGATGGAAGGGTGGGGGTAGAGTGGCTGAAGGCTTACCCGCCAATGTTGGGGCGGGTGAGGCGGGGGATCTGAAGCAAGCTGAAGCCCACTGAGCAGAGGGAGCGGGCAGGCTGGTAGGGGTTTAGGAGGTTGCAGAGGTAGGGGGGAGCAAGGCCATGAAGGGCTCTGAAGGTAAAGACTAGGATCTTGCACTGTATCCTCTGTGTGATGGGAAACCAATGGAGTTGGCCTTATGCCACTCTGCCCCCACCCTCTGGAACTCCATGCCGCAGTCCCTCCGCCTCACCCCCTCCCTTGCCTCCTTCCACACCCATCTCAAGACCCTCCTCTTTGACCATGCCTTCGATCACCCTCCTTCCCCCACTGCCCTCCACCCTCCCCGATCCCGCCCCCGCTTGGGTCTGAAGCACTGACTGTCCAGTTCCTTGGGACGTCCTCTCGACGTGAAAGGCACTGTACAAATCTAATTTTGCTGTAGTTGTTGTTAATCCACGACTATTTGTGGGACGTTGCTGTGCGCAATTGGCTGCTGCGTTTCGCCCACAAAATATACAGTCAGTTCACTTGACAGTATATTCTGTGAAGCACTTTGTGACGCCTCAACGAGGTGATAAGGTGCTATATCAAATGGACGAATTATTATTATGTTATCCTTTTGCACTTTTTGCAAGAATCTGACACTCGTTACGCATAGTATTTCAGCTATAATGGCAGTATCGGGCTAGTTTGAGTGACATTGATGAAACCATTGAGCTCAACACTCAAAATAGTTTATCCTCAAGTCTGGGCCAAGACTGAGGGAACTGATGATTTGCCCCAAATCTCTATCCATCACCCACACTCTCCAACTGGTCAACGGGAAGAGTGAGCAATGTCTAAAATAATCCAGAGGCAATGAAACCTCAGATCTTCCTTATCAATAAAACACTGATTTCAGAATTAACATAATTTATTCATTTTTCCAAATGGGCTATTCTGCATGGAAGAGACGTAATTAATCCTTCCGAGACCTAGGCAGTGGTCTACAACACTCCAACGCGCATCACCAATGCTTTACATAAGATGCTGTCCCCTTCCGCGTGGTATAAAATGCATGTTCTCCTCGCATGTGGCACAGTGCGACTGGAGAAGGCCTGTCCCCCACCCCTGGGAAACTTACTAATGTAAACAGGAGCGTAATTTGACTTGACGTTTTCATCCAGGTAAGTCACCCCCAAGGTGTACAGCGGCGTAGCCCCTATACCATGCAGGAACTGGCCGAACATGAACACAAACCTATAGTTGGACATGCTGGATGTGACTCTGTCACATCCTCCAGTCTGGTTCTGGAGGCACAAGCCAGTCTGTTCGGACAAGTTCACCTCATAATGGCCGGAGGTGAAGTGAGGCAGAGTGAACATCACAGAGCCAAGAGCCATGATCAGTACTCCCCAGCCCAGCCAGCGAGGTTTGTGGCCGTAACCACCAAAGTAACTCACGAACGTCAGGCAAATGCAGGCTGCGATGTCGTAGGAGCTGGCGATCATCCCGCTGTGGTAGCTGCGCAGGTCAAACCTCCTCTCGATGGAGGTGATGACCGTGTTGATAAATCCATTTACGATCAACCCTTGGAGGAAGGAAGCACCGCAGAGGAAGAAGAGCATTCCTTTGGGTGTGTTAAAAACCTGTAAACACTTGGGCTTGAACACACTCCAGCCGCAGAGGTTCTCCGACTTGTTGGGGACAAACTGGAGTTGGTTTGAGTTCTCGTGCGTGCACAATGTCCTCACATCGGACATCCCACTGTTCATGGCATCGTTAGCCTGCTCTGAAGAAGCAGGATTTTCCAAGGCGTTAGTGCTCGTGAAGGCTTCATTTAGATTCAGAAGCTCTTGCCTGGAGCTGAAAGAAGCGTCTCCTGTCAAGCGGTTCGACATTTCTGATGAAGGTTTGAAAGGTCACTGCTGTCCGAAGGTGGCTTCTATTTCCCTCCTGCTCTCTCTTCCACAGCTCTGGCTCTTGTGATCCTTGAATGTAACAAGAATGTGTTGGCACTTTTCAAACTTCCATTTCACATAAGATCAGAGGAGAGGTAAGAAACGTTAAACCTATGTCCGTGCCCTGTGAAGTGAACACACATGTCATCAGCATTTAATTCAAGCTGCTGCTTCCCCCACCACCCCCTAATCAGATAAACTAATAATAATAATCCCTGGATTTGATATAGCGCCTTACCACATCGTAGCGACATCTCAAAGTGCTTTGCATGTTTTTTGGGCGGCAGACCATTGAACACAAACAGTCATTCATGTTAAAGGTATTTTATCAAATAAAAGGATAATTATTAAACAGTCCATTTCAACTGCAGGAAAGCAACAGAAAGAAGTGGTTGTACTCTTCTAGGTTCCAGAATATTTAGGGTTAAGAAAAATCAATGTGGGCGGGGGGAGGGGTGTTAAGCAAACATTGTCTGTTAATGGGAATTGATTTTGAGCTGATGCAGGGGTTGGAAGAGGGGATTAGAAAGGGTTTAGGAACATATGGAGTACAAACACCAGCACAGACTAGTTTAACTGAATGGCCCATTTCAGTGCTGTAGTGTTCTATGTAACTGATTTGACATAGGCCAGAGGGAACAATTATCTAATGAGAAGAGTATAAAAAGACATGTTCTGTGCATGGTGTGATCACCACATTATTTTCAAACGTAAAAGTAACAACCTTAATTCAAATCAACCAGTTTGTTTGATGTATTGTACACGAGCTTTGAGTTTGGGATCCATAAAATCCCAACTAGCCTTACACTGTGGTGTGGCACTGGCTTTATTGCCGTGTACGCAGCTGGCCAGTTTGCTCTCTGCACACCAGCTGGTTTCCCTTGATGATAAAAGTCTGACTTCCAAGTCATTGTCGATGATATTTCCTGGTCAAAAAACGGGGGTCAGTGACTAGAAGCCATTTTTTAAAGATAAAATGGCCGATTGCCATGCGATTTGGTCATTTCCTGCTTTGCCCATCAAAGCGGTGGTGACCTTAATGACTAGGTGAGAGATTAAACCGAGGACCTAACCTCCCTGCTTAGCTTTGTTGAGTAACGTTATTTGGATTATAGCCTATTATTTTGCTTTTGTAAAACCAATTATGGTTCCACCTGTTTCACTTTCAATCGTAACTTATTCCATTCTTCATTCTTTGGGTTCACAAGATTGGTTCAGATGAAGAATGCTCCTTGGTCCCTTTTATCTCAACTGTCTTTTCTCCCCCACATTCAAGCCATGACCCACCCTGCCTTCCCTCACATCTGTAACATCGCCCACTCCGCCACTACCTCACCCCTCAGGCTGCTGAAAGTCTTGTTCATGCCTTCATCGCCTCCAGGCTCGACTATGCAAACCCCTTGCTTGTCGGACTTCCCAACTCCTCCCTCCACAGGCTGCAGATAATCCAGAACTCTGCAGCCCGTGTCCTCTCCCGCACCAAACTCTGTGACCCCAACTCCCCCACTCTCGTCCGACTCCATTGAGTTCCTATCCTTCAGAGGATCTAGTTCAAGATCCTGGTCCTCACATACAAAGCCCTCCATGGCCTCGCCCCACCCTACCTCTCTGACCTCCTAACCCCCTACCAACCCGCCCGCTCCCTCCGCTCAGCCGGCTCTGGCCTGCTCCACGTCCCCCGACCCACCCGCCCCACCATTGGTGGGAGAGCCTTCAGCCACTCTGCCCCCAACCTGTGGAATTCCATCCCCAATCACTCCGCCTCACCCCCTCCTTAGCCTCCTTCAAGTCCCGCCTCAAGTCCCTCCTCTTTGACCATGCCATTGGTCACCCCCTTTTCCTCCCCTCCCTTCTCCCCCCCTGACCCCAGCTCGGTTCTGAAATGCTGTACTCTTGGGTACGTCCTCCCGACTTGGGACGTCCTCCCGATGTGAAAGATGCTATACAAATGTAATCTTGTTGTTGTTTTATCTCATCCTTCCAGAACACTCACCCTACCTCCTCCCGTTACAGCATCATGCTGTCTTTTTAAGTTAGTCCAGTGTCCTGGGCTCAACCACATTTTCTGCAACCGGTTCCAGTCATGAATTACTTGCCAGGTAAAAATAACTTGTCTGCCCTGAACTTGCCCCTTTGCAAATCTGAACCTGAATCCCCTTGTTCTGCTGTCCCTGAAAGTTTTGTTCTGGTTTTCACTTCTTCAATTGCATTTAAAATGTTCGAAAAACTCAATGAAAAATCCACGGCTCTTAGAAGTCTTCTAACAAGACTGAATATACTGAGTGAATTAGCAGAACTGTCCCTCGCAAATGGAGATCCGTAATGACAGTGGTGTTTTGGGAGATTTGCGTGACACGGAGAAGGTGCCTGAAGCAGCCACAGGCCCTGTTAAATCTTGTTCCTCGCGATCACTGAGAACATGAAGCAAAAACACCAGTGGCCGAAATTACTCTTGCTACACCAGTTTGCCGCAAGTTAGTTTGGCTATTGCGGAAAATCGGCTTCCAAACCAAGACTGACTCCTGCATGATTTTAAACATTAGGATGATGCGCTCGACTATGGCCATGAAGAATCTCAGATTTTGCTGTTGCTTTGCAAGCAGCTGTTGATGGGCATTGCATTCCAGTTGTTCTCAAGCAAAAGCTGCACACTCCAAAACTGCCTGACACAGCTTCTGATACTAACTGAACCTGTCTGACCATCCACCAGGTGCTCCTCAAAGAACTTTAATTGTTGCTTTTGGTCGCAACAATTAAATTTCCCTCGAATTTGCTTCTCCCTCACCACTCCCCCCCCCCCCCCCCCCCCATCTCCAAAAAGCATTCGACTCATTTATAAAGGTAATAATTCACCTTGCGAGGATGTAGCAAAGCACTTCACTGGATTTTTACTGTAAAGAAGTAATTAGGCAAATAAACAATTTTACCTGGGGTGTTGTTGGCCAGCACACCGGGAGACTGTATAACTATAAGTCCAAGTTGCAGGCAAACTTGTGTAAGTCGTATAAAATCTGATTTAATCAATAATCTACGCCACACGTGCATAATTCAATGCAGCCAGGACGTGCTCATGCGGTGACGGATCAAGACTACATTTCCCGAGATTCAATTCGGCTTGATACGTCTCCAGATGCGCACTTCCCCACAACCATCGGAATCGCAGGAAATGAAGCTCTTCTGCACATGCACTGATAAGTCAAGACAACGTTTTCTGGGTTTCAATACAGCCGGTAAGGGAGGGAAACTGCTTCTTGACAGGGTAGATAGTGTGAAACCGTTTCCCCTGGTTGGTGAATCTAAAAATAGGGGTCATAGTCTCAGGATTAAAGATCAGCCTTTTAGAACTGAGTTGAGAAAATATTTCTTCACTCAGAGAATTTATGGAATTCTCTACCCCAGAAAGCTGTGAATGCTCAGTCATTGAACATATTCAAGACTGAGATCGATAGATTTTTAAAAACTAAAGGAATTAAGGGATATNGGGGGGTAAATGGAATTAGGTTAGAAGATCGCCCATGATCTTATTAAATGGTGGGGCAGACTCAAGGGGCTGAATGGCCTGCTCCTAGACCATAAGTTGTAGGAGCAGGAACCCAGGCTGATTTTTCCCCCACCTTAATCTGAAGCACTAATTCTGGAGACTATACCAGGGTAAGATCAGCTAACTCCACACAGACGACAGATCAAACCTGGGATCTTCACTCATATATAGCACAACAACTTGCGTAACATTTGAAAAATGTCAGATGGAGCTGCAGATATTATTTGAGCTGTGCATCGATCAAAAGCGGAGAGGGAAAAACAAGGTATACATTTCAATTGCTTCAGCAAAAGAGGTTCCTTGGTCTGTGGGTGTGCAAAATTCTAGGACAGTAAAGAGCAAAAGCAAGGTACCTCCAGTTCACATTAAGGTTAGAAATAGATCTCATCAGTGCTGCCAATTATTTTTCTTTAGGCTGAGTCTCATAACACAGTTGCTACTTAGCACGATGTGAGGAGACGATGGTTTCTGGAACTGTACCAGGAACTCCCCAAAAAATCAAGCAAACCTCATGCAGTACAATTACAATGATAGCCATTACACACCACTGAGGAATCCTGCCGATTGCATAACCTCATTTAAATGTAGACAAATTGGATGCATGCTGACAACCTCAAGCAGAATGAACCATAGAACTTTACAGCATCTGACCCATCATGTCTCTTTCAAAGAGCAATCTACTGAGTCTCATTTACCTGCTTCTTTTCCCTATACCCTTGTAAATTGCTCCTTTTTAAAATATCTAGCTAGTTCTGTCTTGAAAGACAGAATGGATCATTCCTGGACAGTATGTTCGCACTCTGCAGAGCATTCTAACGATTCTCTGTGTCAAAAATATTTTTCCTGATCTCCCCCTTTGCTAACTAAGCAGCCAACATATTGCAAGCTCAACATTTACATGCAGTGAACTCCACGTGTTGATAATGTGAGGAACCTGCCCACGTTTATACTGAAGCACAATTCCACCCACAGTCAAAATATACAACTTGCAATTGTATCGGGCTTTTTACTTAGGGTAATGTCTCAGAACGCCTCTGTACAATCCCCAAACACATCCACATGAATCCGCCTAGTCTTCAGATTGGGTTAACCATGAAATTCATTTTAAAGCCCTCCACGGTCTTGCTCCTCCCTACCTCTGAGACCTACTGAAATCTTACCAACCTGCCCGCTCCCTCCACTCGGTGGGCACTGGCCTGCTTCATGTCCCCCGCACCTGCCCATCCCATCCTCAGCAGTCGGGCCTTCAGTCTTTCTGCCCCCACCTTCGGGAACTCCATCCCAGAGTCTCTGCATCTCGCCCCTTCCCTTGCCTCATTCAAGGCCCATCTCAACACACTCCTCTTTGATAGTGGCTTCAGTCATCCTCCCACCTTGCCCTCCACCCCTTTTGCTTCCAGCCCCCCAGCTCAGGTGTAAGCCCTTGACTGTCCAATGCCTTGGGACGTCCTCCCGGCGTGAAATTCCATAATCAATTCCATGGTTTGCACACGATTAACCCAGTTTGCACATGATAGAACTTATTTTCAAATAGATAACTTGAGTCGGTTCCTGCTTTTACCCTACAAGGAACGTGTTAAGTT